GCAAAGTACTCTGCTAGCATAAAGCCCCCCGATCTCCCAGATCTGGCCAAGTATACTCTGCTAGCATAAAGCCCCCCGATCTGGCAAAGTACTCTGCTAGCATAAAGCCCCCCGATCTAACAAAAAAAGTACTCTGCTAGCATAACGCCCCCCGATCTGGCAAAGTACTCTGCTAGCATACAGCCCCCTGATCTGGCAAAGTACTCTGCTAGCATAAAGGCCCCCGATCTGGCAAAGTACTCTGCTAGCACAAAGGCCCCCGATCTGGCAAAGTACTCTGCTAGCATAAAGGCCCCCGATCTGGCGAAGTACTCTGCTAACATAAAGCCCCCCGATCTGGCACAGTACTTTGCTCGCATGAAGCTCCGATCTGGCAAAGTACTCTGCTAGCATAAAGCCCCTCGATCTGGCAAAGTAATCTGCTAGCATAAAGCCCCCCGATCTGGCAAAGTACTCTGATAGCACAAAGCCCCCCGATCTGGCAACGTACTCTGCTAGCACTAGCGTACAGCCCCCCGATCTGGCAAAGTACTCTGCTAGCACAAAAGCCCGCCGGTCTGGCAAACTACTCTGCTATCATAAAGGCCCCCGATCTGGCAAAGTACTCTGCTAGCAAAAGCCCCCCGCTCTGCTAGCATGAAGCCCCCCGATCTGGCAAAGTACTCTGCTAATTGGCATAAAGCCCCTCGATCTGGCAAAGTAATCTGCTAGCATAAAGCCTCCTGATCTAGCAAAGTACTCTGCTAGCACAAGGCCCCCCGATCTGGCAAAGTACTCTGCTAGCATAAAGCCCCCCGATCTGGCAACGTACTCTGCTAGCATACAGCCCTCCGATCTGGCAAAGTACTCTGCTAGCATAAAGCTCCCGATTTGGCACAGTACTCTGCTAGCATAAAGCCCGCCATTTTGCAAAGTACTCTGCTAGCATACAGCCCCCCGATCTGGCAAAGTACTCTGCTAGCATACAGCCCCCCAATCTGGCAAAGTACTCTGCTAGCATAAAGCTCTCCAATCTGGCAAAGTACTCTGCTAGCATTAAGGCCCCCACTCTGGCAAAGTACTCTGCTAGCATACAGCCCCCCGATCTGGCACAGTACTCTGCTAGCATAAAGCTCCCAATCTGGCAAAGTACTCTGCTCGCATAAAGCCCCCCGATTTGGCACAGTAGTCTGCTAGCATAAAGCCCCCCCGATCTGGCACAGTACTCTGCTAGCACAAAGCCCCCCGATCTGGCAAAGTACTCTGCTAGCATAAAGCCCCCCGATCTAACAAAAAAAGTACTCTGCTAGCATAAAGCTCCCCCGATCTGGCAAAGTACTCAACTAGCATAAAGCCCCCCCGATCTGGCAAACTACTCTGCTAGCACAACGCCTTCTCCATCTGGCAAAGTACTCTGCTAGCATAAAGCCCCCCGATCTGGCAAAGTACTCTGCTAGCACTAAGGCCCCCAATCTGGCAAAGTACTCTGCTAGCATAAAGCCCCCCGATCTGGCAAAGTAGTCTGCTAGCATAAAGCCCCCCAATCTGGCAAAGTAATTTGCTAGCATAAAGCGCCCCGATCTGGCAAAGTACTCTGCTAGCATAAAGCCCCCCGATCTGGCAAAGTACTCTGCTAGCATAAAGCCCCCCGATCTGGCAAACTACTCTGCTAGCATACAGCCCCCCGATTTCGCACAGTAGTCTGCTAGCATAAAGCTCCCCGATCTGGCACAGTACTCTGCTAGCATAATGCCCCCCAATCTGGCAAATTGATTTGCTAGCATAAAGCACCCCGATCTGGCAAAGTACTCTGCTAGCATAAAGCGCCCCCGATCTGGCAAAGTACTCAACTAGCATAAAAGCCCGATCAGCAAACTATGCTAGCACAACGCCAGCCTCATCTGGCAAAGTACTCTGCTAGCATAAAGCCCCGATCTGGCAAAGTATACTGTAGCACAAAAGCCCCCGATCTGGAAAAAGTACTATGCTAGCATACAGCCCCCCGATCTGGCAAAGTACTCTGCTATAGCATAAAGCCCCCCGATCTGGCCAAGTACTGTGCTAGCATAAAGCCCCCCGATCTGGCAAAGTACTCTGCTAGCATAAAGCCCCCCGATGTGGCAAAGTACTCTGCTAGCATAAAGGCCCCCGATCTGGCAAAGTACTCTGCTAGCACAAAGGCCCCCGATCTGGCAAAGTACTCTGCCAGCATAAAGCCCCCATTCTGGCAAAAAGTACCTGCTAGCATAAAGCCCCCAATCTGGCAAGTAGTTTGCTAGCATAAAGCCCCCCGATCTGGCAAAGTACTCTGCTAGCATAAAGCCCCCCGATCTGGCAAAGTACTCTGCTAGCATAAAGCCCCCCAATCTGGCAAAGTACTCTGCTAGCATACAGCCCCCCGATTTGGCACAGTAGTCTGCTAGCATAAAGCCCCCCGATCTGGCAAAGTTCTCTTCTAGCACTGGCACACAGCCCGTCGATCTGGCAAAGTGCTCTACTGGCATTAAGGCCCCCGATCTGGCAAAGTTCTCTGCTAGCATACAGCCCCCAAATCTGGCAAAGTACTCTGCTAGCATAAAGCCCCCCGATCTGGCAAAGTACTCTGCTAGGACAACGCCCCCCCATCTGGCAGAGTACTCTGCTAGCATACAGGCCCCCGATCTGGCAAAGTACTCTGCTAGCAAAAAGGCCCCCGATCTGGCAAAGTACTCTGCTAGCATAAAGGCCCCCGATCTGGCAAAGTACTCTGCTAGCATAAAGGCCCCCGATCTGGCAAAGTACTCTGCTAGCATAAAGCCCCCCCGATCTGGCACAGTACTCTGCTAGCATAAAGCCCCCCGTGGTCTGCTAGCATACAGCCCCCGAATCTGGCAAAGTAATTTGCTAACCAAAAGGTCCCGATCTGGCAAAGTACTCTGCTAGCATACAGCCCCCCGATCTGGCAAAGTACTCTGCGAGCACAAAGCCCCCCGACCTGGCAAAGTACTCTGCTAGCATAAAGGCCCCGATCTGGCAACGTACTCTGCTAGCATAAAGCCCCCCGATCTCGCAAAGCACTCTGCTAGCATACAGCCCCCCGATCTGGCAAAGTAATTTGCTAGCATAAAGGCCCCCGATCTGGCAACGTACTCTGCTAGCATAAAGCCCCCCGATCTGGCAAAGTACTCTGCTAGCATAAAGCCCCCCGATCTGGCAAAGTACTCTGCTAGCACAAAGCCCCCCGATCTGGCGAAGTACTCTGCTAGCATAAACCCTCCGATTTGGCACAGTACTCTGCTGCATAAAGCCCCCCAATCTGGCAAAGTACTCTGCTAGCATAAAGCCCCCCGATTTGGCAAAGTACTCTGCTAGGATAAAGCCCCCCGATCTGGCAAAGTACTCTGCTAGCATACAGCCGCCCAATCTGGCAAAGTACTCTGCTAGCACAAAGATCTCCAATCTGGCAAAGTAATTTGCTAGCACAAAGCCCCCCGATCTGGCAAAGTACTCTGCTAGCACAAAGAACCCCGATCTGGCAAAGTACACTGCTAGCATAAAGCCCCCCAATCTGGCAAAGTAGTCTGCTAGCACTAGCATACAGCCCCCCGATCTGGCAAAGTACTCTGCTAGCACAAAGCCCCCCGATCTGACAAAATACTCTGCTAGCAAAACGCCCCGATCTGGCAAAGTACTCTGCTAGCATAAAGCCCCCCGATCTGGCAAAGTACTCTGCTAAAACTAGCACACAGCCCCCGATCTGGCAAAGTACTCTGCTAGCATAAAGCCGCCCGATCAGGCAAAGTACTCTGCCAGCATAAAGGCCCCCGATCTGGCAACGTACTCTGCTAGCATAAAGGCCCCCGATCTGATAAACCCCCCCCGATCTCGCAAAGTACTCTGCTAGCATAAAGCCCCCCGATCTGGCAAAGTACTCTGCTCTCTGCTTGCATAAAGCCCCCCGATCTGGCAAAGTACTCTGCTAGCATAAAACTAGATCTCCCAGATCTAACAAAGCCATACTCTGCTAGCATACAGCTCCCCAATCTGGCAAAGTACTCTGCTAGCATAAAGCCCCCCGATCTGGCACAGTACTCTGCTAGCATAAAGCTCCCAATCTGGCAAAGTACTCTGCTAGCATAAAGCCCCCCAATCTGGCAAAGTACGCTGCTAGCATAACGCCCCCCGATCTGGAAAAGTAGTCTGCTAGCATAATGCTCCCAATCTGGCAAAGTAATTTGCTAGCATAAGCCCCCCGATCTGGCAAAGTACTCTGCTAGCATAAAGCCCCCCGATCTGGCACAGTACTCTGCTAGCATAAAGCCCCCCGATCTGGCAAAGTAGTCTGCTAGCATACAGCCCCCCAATCTGGCAAAGTACTCTGCTAGCATAAAGCCCCCGATCTGGCACAGTACCCCCCGATCTGGCAAAGTAGTCTGCTAGCATACAGCCCCCCAATCTGGCAAAGTACTCTGCTAGCATAAAGCCCCCCGATCTGGCACAGTACTCTGCTAGCATAAAGCCCCCCAATCTGGCAAAGTACTCTGCTAGCATAAAGCCCCCCAATCTGGCAAAGTACTGTGCTAGCATAACGCCCCCCGATCAGGAAAAGTACTCTGCTAGCATAAAGCCCCCCGATCTGGCAAAGTACTCTGCTAGCATACAGCCCTCCGATCTGGCAAAGTAATTTGCTAGAATAAAGCCCCCCGATTTGGCACAGTACTCTGCTAGCATAAAGCCCCCCATTTTGCAAAGTACTCTGCTAGCATACAGCCCCCCGATGTGGCAAAGTACTCTGCTAGCATACAGCCCCCCAATCTGGCAAAGTACTCTGCTAGCATAAAGCCCCCCAATCTGGCAAAGTAATTTGCTAGCACAAAGCCCCCCGATCTGGCAACGTACTCTGCTAGCATAAAGGCCCCCGGCAAAGTACTCTGCTAGCACAAAGGCCCCCGATCTGGCAAAGTACTCTGCCAGCATAAAGCCCCCCGATCTGGCAAAGTACTCTGCTAGCATACAGCCCCCCAATCTGGCAAAGTAATTTGCTAGCATAAAGCCCCCGATCTGGCAAAGTACTCTGCTAGCATAAAGCCCCCCGATCTGGCACAGTACTCTGCTAGCATAAAGCCCCCCGATCTGGCAAAGTACTTTGCTAGCCTAAAGCCCCCCGATCTCGCAAAGTACTCTGCTCGCATAAAGGCCCCCGATCTGGCAAAGTACTCTGCTAGCATAAAGCCCCCTGATCTGGCAAAGTACTCTGCTAGCATTAAGGCCCCCAATCTGGCAAAGTACTCTGCTAGCATAAAGCCCCCCGATCTGGCACGGTACTCTCCTAGCATAAAGCCCCCCAATCTGGCACAGTACTCTGCTAGCATAAAGCCCCCCAATCTGGCAAAGTACTGTGCTAGCATAAAGCCCCCCGATCTGGCAAAGTAGTCTGCTTGCATAATGCCCCCCAATCTGGCAAAGTACTGTGCTAGCATAAAGCCCCCCGATCTGGCAAAGTACTCTGCTAGCATAAAGCCCCCCGATCTGGCAAAGTACTCTGCTAGCATTAAGGCCCCCAATCTTGCAAAGTACTCTGCTAGCATAAAGCCCCCCCGATCTGGCAAAGTACTCTGCTAGCATAATGCCCCCCAATCTGGCAAATTAATTTGCTAGCATAAAGCCGCCCGATCTGGCAAAGTACTCTGCTAGCATTAAGGCCCCCGATCTGGCAAAGTACTGTGCTAGCATAAAGCCCCCCGATCTGGCAAAGTACTCTGCTAGCATAAAGCCCCCCGATCTGGCAAAGTACTCTGCTAGCACTAAGGCCCCCAATCTGGCAAAGTACTCTGCTAGCATAAAGCCCCCCGATCTGGCAAAGTACTCTGCTAGCATAAAGCCCCCCGATCTGGCAAAGTACTCTGCTAGCATACAGCCCCCCGATTTGGCACAGTAGTCTGCTAGCATAAAGCCCCCCCGATCTGGCACAGTACTCTGCTAGCATAATGCCCCC